TTTAAAAACTTATATTATATTGTAGCCTTGTAGGACCTGAAGATGAGGTGAAAAAGTTTGACCTCGAAACCGGTAGTCTATTTTAAAAAAATAAAAGGATTGTGAGAAATTGGACTTTTCTTCTTATTTTTAAAATAAGTTATAACGGAAAACTCACATTTATCAATTTTGAATTTAATTAAAAATTTGTTAATTAATTTAAAAAATTATTAAAATTAGAATTTACACACATATTTGCTAACCAGTGGCGGAAATACTAAGAGATACTGTCACTGAAAACCTCTAAGAATTATAGGAAATAAAATTAAAGAAAAACGGTATCTTCTAATTTATACAAAAGACGAGCCATTTTCAAATTATTATCTGTTAATAATTAAAAAATAGTATAAGATTATTTTTTCGGAATACACTTTTAAATACAATGTAGCATCAAAAATAAATATTTCTTAAAAAAAACAAATATTTTATTTTTAACTCTCGTAATTTTTTACTTTATTTTAAAAGTATTAAGCTAATTCAAACCAATTCATATTTTGTAAACAGATAGTTTTGCATTTATTTTAGATTTATACAACTGTGAAATAAATAGAGCTGTCATAATTGGCCGCGCACCAAAGGCAAATGCGTGCGGTTCAACATAAAATAAAGTGAACACTGATTATAAAATTTATGTCATTGCGTCATTGTAAAACACGTGAATTATTTTCTTCGTTGACATCTGTTCCACAATCTAGATGGGATCCATTATAGATCGCATCATCGGGTATGTTTCTACCCTTGTTTTAGCGAAACTTATTCGCGGCGGTGATAAAATATCTTAATCTAAAGAGAACGACTGTTCGACATCTACTAATGTAAGTAATACTTGCATAATTAAATAATGAACTTCCAGGCAGGTCCGACATGGTAATTTCCATTCGGGGTTATATTTATTCCAGTAGGAATGAAATGTTTTTTTATTTACTATATCAAACGGTAGGTTACATACAATCAGTATGAAGATTCAATCAAACATAAATTGAGTCTTCTGGTTTTCGCCAGTTTTTTTACACGTTGTGCACTGTTTAATACTTATTACTTTTTGTTTATTAATATTTATTTCAAACGTTTTTATACATATACTGAATTGCATTATTGTTTATATTATTGTTTATATTATTTTTAGTAAAAGAAAGTATTGTTCGTTATTTAATTTTCCCTATGACCCACATGCACTTGAAATAACACGTGTTGAGTGCCGCTTTGTTGGACAAATTTACTACTGATAAAGCTGGGATGCTGACCTGAGTACATAATTTATTATTTCTTGCCTTTTTTTTATTAATTTTATAAAAAAAATAAATCAGGTTTCAACGAAGGGAGCACCTTAAATAGGTATTTTTAGAACTCATTATTTTCCTTTAATTTCATAAAATTCTTTTGTATTCCAAAAAATATATCTGTTTTGTTTTCCACCTGAATAATTTTTATATATTATTAATTTTATAGCTACTAATTACGCTCGACATAATTACAGACAAATATGTTTTATTGTACCGTGTTCTGGTAATAGTTTAAATAACTAGATGGATNTCGTAATTTTTTACTTTATTTTAAAAGTATTAAGCTAATTCAAAAAAATTCATTTTTTGTAAACAGATAGTTTTGCATTTATTTTAGATTTATACAACTGTGAAATAAATAGAGCTGTCATAATTGGCAGCGCACCAAAGGCAAATACGTGCGGATCAACATAAAATAAAGTGAACACTGATTATAAAATTTATGTCATTGCGTCATTGTAAAACACGTAATTTATTTTCATCGTTGACATCGGTTCCACAATCTAGGTGAGATCCATTATAGATCGCATCATCGAGTATGTTTCTACCCTTGTTTTAGCGAAACTTATTCGCGGCGGTGATAAAATATCTTAATCTGAAGAGAACGACTGTTCGACATCTACTAATGATGTAAGTAATATTTGCATAATTAAATAATGAACTTCCAGGCAGGTCCGACATGGTAATTTCCATTCGGGGTTATATTTATTCCAGTAGGAATGAAATACAATCATTATGAAGATTCAATCAAACATAAATTGAGTCTACTGGTTTTCGCCAGTTTTTTTATACGTGTGTTGTGCACTGTTTAATACTTATTACTTTTTGTTTATTAATATTTATTTCAAATGTTTTTATACATAAACTGAATTACATTATTGTTTATATTATTTTTAGTAAAAGAAAGTATTGTTCGTTATTTAATTTTCCCTATGACCCACATGCACTTGAAATAACACGTGTTGAGTGCCGCTTTGTTAAACAAATTTATTACTGATAAAGCTGTAATGCTGACCTGAGTACATAATTTATTACTCCTTGTTTTTTTGATTAATTTTATAAAAAAAATAATAAAAAATCAAACAATTAGACGAAGGGACCAGATTAAGTAGGTATTTTTAGAACTCATTATTTCCCTTTACTTTCTCAAAATTGTTTCTGTTCCAAAAAATTAATCTCTGTTTTGTTTTCTACCTGAATAGTTTTTATGTTAATAATTTTATAGCCACTTACCGGTAAATTTGTTTTCTTTTTTAGCCAGTATAGTATGAATAATTTGCTGTTTTTTAGCACTAACTGCGCTGGACATAATTACACACAATTGTGCATCAAAAGACAACAAAAATCGTAAAAGAAATCGTTCGATTACAAGGAAATCTGACATGACAGCGCCAATGGCTAGCGGATCAATTGTGACAACTTGGTAATAAATAAGCTTATTAGATATAAATTTTAAAAATACCAAATACCTTTTTTCTCTCTGAATATTATTAATTAAATGGAATTATGGAATTTTCAAAGTAATAAACGTGAGAAAATTCTGCTTTTCTTAATGTCAGAATCTCCACCAATTGTTGACACATTTGTAAACTAATTCAGTTAATTTTTGCTTAATTAGACGAGAATATAAGTCATCAAGCTGAATTGAACATCTTCAGAGATACTGAAGTAAATGTGATATTTGTTAAACTACACCAAACTATGTACCTATTTGAAAGTAGATGGTTTGAGTTCCTAAGTTTATTATAACCTTTTTTATTTTGTTCAAAATACGAATAACCTAAAATTATGACATGTACTTAAAAACATTCTCTTATCTCCCATAATTTTTAAGATATTGCAACAATCGAGGTGACTATTTGTAAATTTTTTTCAAGGTTTTCTAGACTAAATNATCTCGATCACAAAACAATCTAAAATGTAGAAATGCGTTCTGTGGAAACAGGATGCGTAGCTCCAAAATATTCTTTGTATGCCGGTCGGCCTCGAAAATTGACATGGCAACAGGAAGAAGGTTACTGCGGGATGTTGAGAATAATCCTACCACCAGTACATACACGCATATTTCCAAGAAATAGGCATCATATCCAATCCACTGTCCATAGATGTCTTCAAAGGTACAGCTTGTATCCGTATAATGTAGAACCAATTCAAATGCTGCATCCCGGAGACGACCAATTAAGAGTACATTTTTGCAGATGGGCATTACAAGAATTTCAGCGCAATCCAGATTTTTTCTATAATGTTTTATTTACCGATGAAGCTCATTCCAACCAACAAGGAATTTTCAATCACCATAACCTTCATTATTGGCATTATGAGAAAACGTTGGTCTGGAAAAGGATCATAGGTCCATATTTTTTGCCAAGAATACTGAATGGTGAAAATTGCAGTAATTTTTGCGAGAACATTTTGCCAGGTTTGTTAGAAGATATTCCTCTACAACAACGTGCAACTACGTNCTTCTGCCGCTATTGTTATTATTAATTAATAAAATTAATTTGCGGTTTTATTTAATAAAATAATTTGACATACCTATTGTTACAACAACGGTTCAAAATTTTGTCCACCGACGTGTAGACACATTTGGGCCCATCGTACCTAGTTTCTACGACTAACACAAATGTTGTATTGCTTCACCATAAATTAAAACGATACATCAACTCCGAATTGCTATACAGTAAGCCATTTTTGACACTTAAAAAAGTAATGTAAACACTGTCGTAAAAACTTTAATATTAAAATTGTATTTCAGTATTCGGAATCGTCTGGGGCCACGTGGAGTGAGAGCGAATTGTGTACAGCACACAACGCGAATGACGCTAGAGTCTACAGTAGCCCAGCGATGTAAGGGTTTTGAATACGACAAGTTCAATAATTTTTTCCTTGGAAACTATAAGGATTTTACAAAAAAAATTTATACGATATTGACCCTATTTTCATGATGCATATATTCCCATTTTTTTTTTCGATAAGTTGTGAATCACCCTGTATGTGTTTTATACAAGGAAATAGAAAAAAACGTATGAAAAATTAAAGAAGCACTATTTTTGTTCAGTATTAACGGCAGAAACGAGTTATTATTTTTTTTGACAATTTTATTGTTAATATTTGCCCACTTTAACTTACTATCAATTTATACACCATATCATATTTATTTTTTAAGTCCCTTACTTGTAGACTGGTGCAAAAAACTGCTCAAAAATCAACTTAGATTTTCCAACACTCCGTACATTTGAAACTGTTGTTTTTTTGTCTTTTCCAGACTTACATTTAATAGAGCCAAAACGCGGCCAATGTTTCGACATCTACCCCGAGGGCAAACCCATATACCTGTCCAGGTCCCTCAAGACTTGCACCGAAAACATCCCTGAGATCAACAACTGCTTGGGTCTGAGAACTCAGAACGGTGAAATCATCAATTTGGATTGCAACGAAGACGAACAAGAAAACCCGGGATGCTATCAAATAATAAATGCTGACCAAACGAAAGGCACCGTCTGCCAGAAAATGGACCAAGCTCGGGGTTGTGAGGTGATCTCCACACCTACCGGGGTCAACGTGGAAGTCTTCTGTTACCCAGTGGAAGAAAGCAGGAATATTATTTATGTGAAATCTCTTAAACTTAAACCGACGTAAAATATCGATAAACGCATTGTACTTAATTTTTTACTATCACTTTTAATACGGATATAATAAATACTAACTTATTTATAACGATCAGGTATTATAATTATACATCAATGAAGAATAAAGCAGATAAGTATTAAGACCCCTTTCTCGGTTTTCATAAAGAGAAGCACAATAACTTTCAGTTTAATTTAATAATTTTCAATAATTATTGCAACACAAATTTCTCAGATTTCTGTATTTATTTAATCTAATGCAAACATTAAAATATACAGGAGAAGCTTTTCCGATGTGACGAAACGAATATGAAATTTGGAACTTTTTAATTTAGTATACAGGGTGATTCATTAATAACGGGACAGAGCTTAAGGGCATGTTGCTGACCTCAAAATAGAGCGATTAAGCCAAATATGCCTTATCCGAATGTTGCTCCTTTTCGATCTACAGGGTGTTAAGTTGAGNGTTGGACAAATTTACTACTGATAAAGCTGGAATGCTGACCTGAGTACATAATTTATTACTCCTTGTTTTTTTGATTAATTTTATAAAAAAAAATAATAAAAAATCAAACATTTAGACGAAGGGACCAGATTAAGTACGTATTTTTAGAACTCATTATTTTCCTTTACTTTCTCAAAATTGTTTCTGTTCCAAAAAATATATCTCTGTTTTGTTTTCCACCTGAATAGTTTTTATATGTTAATAATTTTATAGCCACTTACCGGTAAATTTGTTTTCTTTTTAGCTAGTATAGTATGAATAATTTGCTGTTTTTTAGCATTAACTGCGCTCGACAAAATTACACACAATTGTGCATTAAAAGACAACAAAAATCGTAAAAGAAATCGTTCGATTACAAGGAAATCTGACATGACAGCGCCAATGGCTAGCGGACCAATTGTGACAGCTTGGTAATAAATAAGCTTATTAGGTATAAATTTTAAAAATACCACATACCTTTTTTCTCTCTGAATATTATTAATTAAATGGAATTATGGAATTTTCAAAGTAATAAACGTGAGAAAATTCTGCTTTTCTTAATGTCAGAATCTCCACCAATTGTTGACACATTTGTAAACTAATTCAGTTAATTTCTGCTTAATCAGACGAGAATATAGAGCCATCAAGCTGAATTGAACATCTTCAGAGATACTGAAGTAAATGTGATATTTGTTAAACTACACCAAACTATGTATTTGAAAGTAGATGGTTTGAGTTCCTAAGTTTATTATAACCTTTTTTATTTTGTTCAGAATACCAATAACCTAAAATTATGACATGTACTTAAAAACATTCTCTTATCTCCCATAATTTTTAAGATATTGCAACAATCGAGGTGTCTATTTGTAATTTTTTTTCAAGGTTTTCCAGACTAAATATATAATTTTACAAAACAAGTGATTTTAATAAAAGTGGCGGCACTTTACACACATGGAAATTTATATTTCCATGTGGACTTTTTTCCCTTAAGTCACTGTATAAAAAATTATTATTGCATCGAATCAGATAAGGTAATACTGCTGAAATCAAATTTTTAATTGACCAGTACAAGCTTTATATCCCTTTCTTTCCAGGTGGATATTATTCGCGAAATTAAGTACTTTTCAATTACTTTCACAATGCTACTTTGTACGATTTCAAACACCTTGCATAAAAAACTGATTACTTATTTTATTTTTATTAAATAATTAGCCCAGAAGGCTTTGAAAAAATTATAGAAATTATTCTAGGGGGTTTTAACTGCCGCACACAGTATATACAGGGTGATTCCAAACTTATCCAAACAAAATTTTGAATGTACAGGAGACCCTTACAAATACAATTTTGTAAAAAAATCAAAAAGGGCAGTTCGAAAATGATTTAAAAAAACACTTCTGCACGGCACTGGAAATTGGTCCACAGTAAATCCTGACCTTCAAACAATCAGTCGGTAGCAAAGTGTAATAAAAAATGAACGGACAAAAAATTTAAATAATTTCTTTCCTAAAGAAACAAATAAATAACATTTTATAACACCTATTTTATATAAGCAAATTAAACTGCTTCTGCCGCTATTGTTATTATTAAATAATAAAATTAATTTGCGGTTTTATTTAATAAAATAATTTGACATACCTATTGTTACAACAACGTTTCAAAATTTTGTCCACCGACGTGTAGACACATTTGGGCCCATCGTACCTAGTTTCTACGACTAACACAAATGTTGTATTGCTTCACCATAAATTAAAACGATACATCAACTCCGAATTGCTATACAGTAAGCCATTTTTGACACTTAAAAAAGTAATGTAAACACTATCGTAAAAACTTTAATATTAAAATTGTATTTCAGTATTCGGAATCGTCTGGGTCCACGTGGAGTGAGAGCGAATTGCGTACAGCACACAACGCGAATGACGCTAGAGTCTACAGTAGCCTAGCGATGTAAGGGTTTTGAATACAAGTTCAATAATTTTTTCCTTGGAAACTTTAAGAATTTTACAAAAAAATTTTATACGATATTGACTCTATTTTCATGATGCATCTATTCCCAATTTTTTTTTTTTCGGTAAGTTGTGAATCACCCTGTATGTGTTTTATACAAGCAAATAGAAAAAAACATATGAAAAATTAAAGAAGCACTATTTTTGTTCAGTACTAACTTTAGAAACGAGTTATTATTTTTTTTGACAATTCTATTGTTAATATTTGCCCACTTTAACTTACTATTAGTTTATACACAATATCATATTTATTTTTTATGTCCCTTACTTGTAGACTGGTGCAAAAAACTGCTCAAAAATCAACTTAGATTTTCCAACACTCCGTACATTTGAAACTGTTGTTTTTTTGTCTTTTCCAGACTTACACTTAATAGAGCCAAAACGCGGCCAATGTTTCGACATCTACCCCGAGGGCAAACCCATATACCTGTCCAGGTCCCTCAAGACTTGCACCGAAAACATCCCTGAGATCAACAACTGCTTGGGTCTGAGAACTCAGAACGGTGAAATCATCAATTTGGATTGCAACGAAGACGAACAAGAAAACCCGGGATGCTATCAAATAATAAATGCTGACCAAACGAAAGGCACCGTCTGCCAGAAAATGGACCAAGCTCGGGGTTGTGAGGTGATCTCCACACCTACCGGGGTCAACGTGGAAGTCTTCTGTTACCCAGTGGAAGAAAGCAGGAATATTATTTATGTGAAATCTCTTAAACTTAAACCGACGTAAAATATCGATAAACGCATTGTACTTAATTTTTTACTATCACTTTTAATACGGATATAATAAATACTAACTTATTTATAACGATCAGGTATTATAATTATACATCAATGAAGAATAAAGCAGATAAGTATTAAGACCCCTTTCTCGGTTTTCATAAAGAGAAGCACAATAACTTTCAGTTTAATTTAATAATTTTCAATAATTATTGCAACACAAATTTCTCAGATTTCTGTATTTATTTAATCTAATGCAAACATTAAAATATACAGGAGAAGCTTTTCCGATGTGACGAAACGAATATGAAATTTGGAACTTTTTAATTTAGTATACAGGGTGATTCATTAATAACGGGACAGAGCTTAAGGGCATGTTGCTGACCTCAAAATAGAGCGATTAAGCCAAATATGCCTTATCCGAATGTTGCTCCTTTTCGATCTACAGGGTGTTAAGTTGAAAAAATATTTTCAATTTTTTGAAATATCTTGAGCATCTTTGAACGGATTGTCTTGAAAATTTGTACACCTATGTTTTCTGAGGTAGTAATTACGGAAATGGTAACTATTTTGCAATCACATCTAGGATGCGCTAGTTGTAGTGTTCCGTCGGAGTAAACATATGTCAAACTTTTTTGTCCTTCAAAAATCTGAATTTCCAATAAGAAATTATTAAACTACGTTCAATTCTAAATAAAAAAGATATACCTGTTAAAAATCGATAAACTTAACCGTTTTCGAAATAAGAACGATTTACTATTTCTTTACAAAATTATTTGTTTGAACGTACGCCTTTAAATAAGATGACTTAATTACGAATTAAGACAAACACAGTAACAACTGAAAATTTTATTATGCTTAAGTCTAATTACAAAAGATTCTCAAAGTGGCGACCATTGTTTTCAATACATTTTTTTATTCTCTCGTTAAAATTTTGTCTGACACTGAATAGACTTCTTTGTTGGTCTCTGATAATGTTAACAGATTCTTGTATTTTTGCCCACAGCTCTTCTCGAGTATGTATAACATCTTTATAAACTAAAGATTTAACGTTACCCCAGAAATAAAAATCTAGGGGATTTAAATCAGGGCTACGCGCAGGCCAAGGCACTTCGCTGCCGCGACCAATCCAACGGTTTCGAAAACTTATATCAAGATATTCTCTTACTGGTCGGGAGTAATGTGCGGGAGCACCATCATGCATAAACCAAAAGGTTTGCCGTAAATTTAAGGGGATATTTTCAAGAACGAGTGGCAAGTCATTTGTTAAAAAATTTAAATAATTTTCCCCATTAAGTGGACGGGGTAACACAAATGGTCCCAAAATGTTATCGGAAAGTATTCCACACCAAATATTTATTGAGAATTCATGCTGAAAATGTTGTTCTCGTGGCAAGTGAGGATTTTCCAGTTCCCAGGAATGGCTATTTCTCCAATTAAATACACCGCGCCGGGTAAATGTAGCTTCGTCCGTAAACAATATTTTATTATAAAATGTAGGGTCAGCATTTTGTTGCCGACGAAGAAACTGTGCGAACCGAAATCTACCAGGAGGATCTTGTGGCATCAACTGTTGAACCGGACGAAAATGGTAAGGATACAATTTTTCTTTGTGGAGTATTCTGAAGACGGAAGGCTGACTTACACCAGTAGCTGATGAAATTCGGCGTGTGCTTGTTTGCGTGTTTTCGGCAATTCGCACTAAAACATCCTCTTCTTGCTCCGCCGCTAATACTTTAGGCCTTCCAACGTCTCGTTTAGGGCGAAATGATCCCGTTTCTCCTAATCTGTCGTACAACGTCTTGAAAAGCTTGTGGTTAGGTTGTCTGTTATTTGGATATAACTCCAAGTACCTCGCTGCTGCATGACGACCACAATAATTTTCTTGGGCATACACACATACCATGTTTCTCATTTCAACAAACGAATAATCATTATGACGCGGCATTTTAATGAAAAAAATCACAAACGAAGAAGAACTAAACTGTCTAGTATTTATAAGTTGCTTAGAATTGACATAAATAATACATGACATTTCATTGACAGCGGCCTACTTCATTTAAGTCATCTTATTTAAAGGCGTACGTTCAAACAAATAATTTTGTAAAGAAATAGTAAATCGTTCTTATTTCGAAAACGGTTAAGTTTATCGATTTTTAACAGGTATATCTTTTTTATTTAGAATTGAACGTAGTTTAATAATTTCATATTGGAAATTCAGATTTTTGAAGGACAAAAAAGTTTGAGATATGTTTACTCCGACGGAACACTACAACTAGCGCATCCTAGATGTGATTGCAAAATAGTTACCATTTCCGTAATTACCACCTCAGAAAACATAGGTGTACAAACTTTCAAGACAATCCGTTCAAAGATGCTCAAGATATTTCAAAAAATCGAAAATATTTTTTCAACTTTAATACCCTGTAGATCGAAAAGGAGCAACATTCGGATAAGGCATATTTGGCTTAATCGCTCTATTTTGAGGTCAGCAACATGCCCTTAAGCTCTGTCCCATTATTAATGAATCACCCTTATATGGGTGCAGTGATAAAACAATATTGAATAAATATTGAAAAAACAATGATTAATTGTTAATACAAAAGTCATGGGAAGTGTGACAATAAAAACAGATGATTTTTGTCACTGATAGATGTACTTTCAGCTACCTGAAATTATTAAATGCAACCTGAAATCATAAAATGCTACCTGAAATCATAAAAAACATACATGCTACCTGAAATCATAAAAATAACATACATAGGCAACTGTTTCGATGTGAACTATGCCTTTTGTGACATAACAAATAAATATACCTTTTTCAGAAAATAAAGTGACGTTTCATAAACTTGCTTCTCCTCAAATTGACTTCAAAGAGACAAAAAAAACTGTCCTAGGTGTTTTTTTAATAAATTCTAGGTAAAAAAAAATAAGTGTAAATTCATATTTGTCTATCCCAAAGAAGTCTTTAAAAAAATGAAATAAAATAATATTTGAAAGGCCTACAACATTTTAATGAAGCAAAATTGTAGTAAGGTAACTAAATTGGTATATTTTTTATATATCGTTGAAAAAATTATTTGAAATGAAAAAATTGGAGTTATTTCCTACAAAAAAGTAAGTCGAAAATTGTTGACTTATTTTATAATCGAAAGAAAGAAATATTTCCTTGGCCTTATACACAAACAAATTACTTATTTCAGTTTAACAATTTTTTTACAGGCACCAATTTTTTTTGTGATTATATGAAACACATGTTTTGTACAACGTGTTGCTAAATACATATACATTTTTTAAAATAAATGGTAAAATATTAGACTACCTATGTTTAACTATTTGTTATTAACAGTACCCAAATTATTTTTTAAATAAAAACAACTATTATTCAAGTAACCGCATTATCTATGAATAAAATGAAGTATTATTTACATGGATTCTCTCAAATGTTTATTGCAAATTATTATAATACTCATATTTTTATTAATTTTACCCTTATCGTAAATGAAAGGTTTCCGGACACCTATTTATACAGGGTGATCCGAATTTTATGCAGGAAACTTCGAGGGCAAATAGATCTCTTTAAAATAATAGGTATTTGCCTTATAAACATAGGTCTGGAACGGCCCCGTTTTAGAGATACAAGGTGTTGAAGTTGTTAAAAAATATATGTTTTGTTTATATCTTCAGAATCTATTAATCGATCCCAATAAAGTTTGGTACAGATAATATGTGATAGTAGGCCTTGCAACACCCTGTATCTCTAAAACGGGTCTGTTCCAGACCAATGTTTATAAGGCAAACACATATTATTTTAAAGAAATCTATCTGCCCCCGAAGTTTCCTGCATAAAATTCGGACCATCCTGTAGAAACTTTTTTTGTTAATTTGTATCATATGTCTGCAATTAAAGTTTGGACAAGCATCTTTGTTACAAGCTGTGTAGCACATCCGAAAAATAAATTGTTTTCCACGAGCGACCAAAAGTTATATTCATTATGTTCATGAATCACTATATAAATCCACAATCCAGGATTTTTTTAAATGATCTTTCCATACTTGCCCAGATTGTCCCACACTGATGTGTCCCATCATTAAACACCCTATATTTAGAAACTTTATTAGAAATGTAAAAGTTCATTATAATATTTCCATACTCTCTTCATACAGGGTGTACCGTATTGCATAATCCAAACTTTACCTGGTGATAAAACACCTTAAAATCCATAAAAAGGCGTTCATAAATTAAACATAGGTCCTGTTGATATGTAAAGAAATACATACAGTCTTCATAAATGTTTACAAGTCACGGAAGAGCCGAGCTTAGGCAACCAATATTGCAGAGCTGCTACTGGTAACGAACAATCCTTAAATCTTGGGGTCACCAATACTACTGATTCGTTTACAATGAACAATGACAAATCATTACGTTTACGCTCGAAATAATGTGACCGCTGATTGGTTGAATGGAATCTCGTGAAAAATAACAAAATCACAGCCGGTGAAACAGAATGTTGTATTTTAAGGTAATTTTGACTTTATTATTTAAATAATTTTTAATATTTTCCGAAAATTAATAATAATAATTACTGGTCACGTGACTTATAATGTATATTAATGAAACTTAAGGTAATAAAAAATAATTTTTAATAATTAAAACAAACATTTTTTTAGCTAGCATTAATTTTTGTAACGATCTAGACTAGAATAGACTATTGATATGGATGCAAATGACAGGTATACCCCAGTTGAGAGTTTGGTAATTTAAATTTTTTATTATATTGTCCCAGGGACACCCAATAAGTGATTTTAATTTTTTTGTCTCCAAAAAGGAAGCAAGCTACGGAAAAAATTCAAGCGACAAAAAAGTTATATTTTTAGTTGCTTAATGTGAAAAAAATTATAAAAGTTTTAAAAAAGTCAGTGGCTCACTTTTTTTTATTATTAAGATTTTTACAAAAAAAAAACGTTTTTTTTAAAAAACTGACATTCTGTATCTTGAAAACGATGTATTACCGGACCTATGTTTATATAAACTTTTCGTCTTGGAATCACTCAAAGAATCACCCCTTGAAGTTTGGCCACGTTCTTAAATAACACCCTGTATTGAAGGGTCATTTTAAATATTCAAAATTTCTCAAAAAATACTTAGATTTTTTAGAAATACCAACTGGAATTCAATGCACTTATTCGATTCTCAGAATATCCAGTGACGTCGAAATTCTAGCGTCCTTAGTGACGGTATCTCCCAGTATCTCCGCCACTGGATAGCAGATTTGTGTATTGAAACAAATTATGGGCAAATTTTTGCACATAATTAGTTCAGTCAGTTTAAGTAATCCACGATTAATTCAAAATAATATGTATATAAAATACTCACTGTTCTATAGCCATCTTGTAATTTTTTTCGGAAATATGCAGGATGATTTGTGCAAAACTCCCTATTGAAAATCCATTTTTCCCATCAAATTAAATCTGAAAAAGATATTTCGCAAACTTTCATATAGATTTATTGGAGAAATCGCATCATCTTCCTTTCGGTAAACTCGTGGTTCGTTTCATAATATCAACTTATTTATAAGATTTACCGCTCGTGCTGCTCTCACCAATAAGGCTACGCGGGTCGCCGTCTCTGCAAGAGTAATTAAAGTAATGCAGAATGCATGCCGAAGGACAAGCAATAGCCGTGCAATGGCAGAACTGGTAACTGGATTTTTTTTTAATCGAGGTATACCGTAATTACCACTTTATAAAGTCATATGTACTTAATATTCAGTGGTTTAGTGAAATTCAATATGGAGCTGGTGTACGCTGCTCTCTGTGTGATCTTCTTGGTTCTCGCATCTTGCCAAGGTAAGTTTTTCGATAGGGAAGTCAGAAATAGGCTTTTGGGAATAGGTAGCCTATTAAAAAAGTGTTTTATTTTAATTTTCAAGTGAATGTTTGAATGGTTTGTTATGAGCAAAGTTTTAAGTGCGAAATTTCTAGAAAAGAGAAGAAAAACTTCTCACTTTTTACTGTACATAAAAAAATAATATATTTTCAATTTTATAAATAGGATAGCAAACTAAAATCTCAGCAAAGGAAAAAGAAATCGATAGTGTCAGTGGATTTCCTAAAAACAACTTGCACAATTTAAATTTAGCACAGAAGAAATCCGAACGTGATACACAGAAAATAAAGCCTTCTAAAAATTTCAAATCTATCACAAAAGTATTAGTTTTTCTCAATATTTTATTTTCTTCATATAATGACACAAAAATCCAATATTTTTTACAATAGTTTTTGGATTTCGTAGATAATGATTATTCTGATATTAAATTAAAATTAAACTAAAACTAGAACGTCATTTTACGAAATACTAAAAAATACAAAATTTCAGTAAAACTTTATAGTATTTCTATTTGGAATTTTTTCATGTTTTATATAACAATTCATTTCACCACGGAAAATAAGTAGGTATAACCTTTAGAGATTAGATAATAAATATAGTTGTTATAAGCATAAAATTAATCGTTTTAGCAGTTAAAGATATGTCCAGTCTCAATAATAAACGTTGTATAAAATGGAATGGAAGTATGCACATGCATATTATTGTACTTTGTTTATATATTCGTTTCAATATATTTAAACACATACACTATATTTTGACAATCCATTAAATTTTTTGTTTTTAGAGTTATAAAAAAATGTGAAATATAAAAGTTGCACGATTTTTTACGTATTTTTCGAAAATTATAAAAGAAAAACAAATGAAGTTTAAATAAAAGGCTGCGAATTTTATAATTTTGTTAATTTAAATAGAACACCCTGTATATTTTTACATATTTGGATAGAATGTTCCCTGTCGAGCATAGCCATATAGAGTCCATCTCTAACAATAAGCGAGATACTATTAAAAAGCGAATATAAGCTTTTTTTATTAAGAAAATAAGATATATAATTGTTAGACTTTTTACAATTACGTAAGGATTTACAGATTTAGTTGTAATATATTTTGACATACCGGACATTGATATGGTGCAAAATGAGTATAGGTATTTTAACTAAATCTCACTAATTAGGTCGTGAGAGGCCTAATTACTCATGGACAATAACCGTGACAGTGACAGGTAATGTCATGACAACATTGTTATTGGTTGACAGTTTGTATTATTATTTAATTAAAATGGGTTACACAAAACTAGGAAATTAAAATATTATAGGAATTAAAACAGATTAAAGTTCTTCTCTATACTCTATTTCCAAATAATAGGTACTTCAATTTTCTACTTCTGTGTAACCTATTTTAAATAGATAACTATTCAAACTGTTAATCAATAACAATGTTATCATGACATTACTACCTGTCACTGTCACGACCAAACATTGTCCATGAGTAATTAGTCCTCTCACGGCCTAATTAGTGAGATATAGTTAAAATACTTATACGCATTTTGGACAGTATCAATGTCCGACATATAAAATATATTATAACTATAAATCTGTAAATCTTTATGTAATTGGTAAAAAAAGCAGAAATGCCTGAAAGAGGTCTAACAATTACAAGATATTTTCTTAATAAAAAGCCTTATTTTCGTTTTTTAATAGTATCTTGCTTATTGTTAGAGATGGACCCAACAAACCCTATATGATTATGCTCGACAGGAAACGTTCGATCCAAATATGCAAAAATCTACAGTGTTCCATTTAAGTTAACAAAGTCTGCGGCCATCTTGTTTGGATTTCATTTGTTTTTTAACTATCATTTTCGAAAAATTAAAAAAAATGGAGCAACTTTTGTATTTCACATTTTTTTATAACTCTTACAACAAAAAAGTTAAAGGCAGGGTCAAAATATAGTAATTTACCCTGTACATGTTGAGCCCTTTTACTTTATTCCACCATTTTGTTTAGTCGGTTTTTCAGAAATTTTTGATATGTACTTAGTCTAAAAATATATTAATCATCGGTAAACTTATCTTGCAAATACATAATTGTAGTAATATCAGTAATACGAAAAGTGTCTAAAATTAGTTTATTCTTAGTTTCAAATTATGTACGATTCTACAATGTGTCCCGTTTCTTCTTACTTAATTTTATTTTTCAGATGGAATCGTCTGTATCTTATCACATTTTTGAATTTGTTGAAATCTAAATAGTACCACCATTGGGTCATGTTAAAAAAATGACATTTGAAGTAGCTTTGAATACGTCAAATATGTCCGAAATTAAATTTGAAAATAAAATACGGTTTTAATAAAAAAATCAACCTTATCTTTTATTTACTTAATAGCTTCAAATGGCTTAAATTATCAGTTTAAATTTAACACAAGTACCTAGATGCAAAATTTAATTTTCTTTCTACCTTATAAGGTACCTATATTGGGGTATATTTTCTGTAATTTGCGAGATGTTCGCGATTTAAATACTTTTTGTTGCTATATTTTTGCATTAAAATTAAAACTACAAAAATATTTACAAGTAAATCACGTCAAACAGAACATAATAATTATGACATAAACGTAGAAAATATATGACATTTATTTGAAAAACACTAAAAATATATAGGTTACTACAACAGTTTTACAAAACGTATACCATTTACTTAGCATATTATCGAAAGTTTTTCCTTTCCCAACACTATCAGGGGTTTCAGGCGTAATGTTTGAAAACTTCTCTTTTTCGATTCTACATTCCTTGAATTTTAGTGACAGGATAAACTTTATTTTTTATGAATAGAATAAGAAAATATCAGATTGATTTATGATGAAAATTTTGATTTATAAAATATCGTTTTTGCTATTTTGGATTAAAAATAGTGCTATGAATGGTATTTATTTTTTTAAACGAACAAAGCAGCAAAAATATGAAAAACCGCTTATATCTCGCAAATTATAAGAAACAGATAAAAATAAAATTAAATTTTGCAGCTATCTTTGTCAAATTTATCGTAGTCTTTCATTTAAAAAATCAAATTATTTTTCTTGGATTTTATTGATAATAAGAAAACATCACATTTTTTTAGATCTAGGAATCTAGCTATCAATAAGGATCCTCATTTAATTGATTCATGAGGAAAATTTTGATTTATAAAATATCGTTTTTGCTATTTTGGATTAAAAACAATGCTATGAGTGGAATCATTTTTTTATATGAACAATGCAGCAAAAAGATGAAAATCCGCTAATATCTCGCAAATTATAAGAAGCAAATAAGCATAAAATTTTTAAAAAATCGGGTTATTCATAACTTAGAAATTCTAACAATTTCAATTTGAAAAGTCTCACAAATTAAAATAAGTAATGCACGAAATACATTTTTTCATGCTTGAACGAGCAATAAAAATCGCATCTTGTGATCCTTTTTAGGTTCAAAAATATTATATATTTTCGAGGATCTTACAATTCAATTTAAGTAAAGAATATCAGACAACACCTAAACGAGACGACTTAGACATTGTTTATCAAAGTAGGCTATAGATCCAACGAAAAATTGAAAATATGCAATAATATCCCCGAAAAAATTAAATCGGTTAACACGAACACATTTATGTCAGATACTTTTATATTATTGATATTATTAGAGGACTTTAATCATCTCTGTAAAGTCTAAGAATTAAAGTATACGAAACTTACGTTTTTAAATCTATGTTCAACATTTTGTTATAGATCTCTAGACGTAACATACATTTTTAAATGTAACAACCTTTATATGAAATAGGGAACAATTTCCTCGTGATTGCCCTGTACAGTACATTTTCATCTTTTCTACTCAGATCGATTTCTCTTAATAAAAAAAATTATACCCTCGCTTTAGTCCTAAAACTTATCTGGTTAACATGATATTTTCATTTTCAAGTATACTCACGTCTATTTTCCAGATATGCACGTGATAGAAAAGAAACCAGGTCAGTGTTACAAGGTACACAACCCCAACCAGCCTCGCCTCCATCTGAACCCCCGAAAGCCGGAGTACGACGACGTCTTCGAGGCCTGCACCCAGTGGTTGCGGGAAAACAAGAATTGCCTCGGCCTGAGGACTCAGAACGGCGAGGTCGTGATGGTGTACTGCAAGGGCGACCATAAGAGGAGGAGACCTGGGTGCTACAAGGTCGTCAACAAGGACAAGAGGGAGGAGATCATCTGCCAGAAGATAAACAGACAGCAGGGCTGCGAAGTCATCACCACGAGGAGTAATCTGACCATAGTGGTGAATTGTAACCCAACCAGGGGTACTTCGTCTGCTGCGGGGGTCTTCGATGTAAAGGATAACAGGCCTAAAAGGCAGTAGAGAAATTTTTTGCTTATTTTACCATCATTTAAGGTGCTAATTTTATTTTGCTAATTAAAATGAACTAACTAAGGAAAGAGGATAAAAAAATTTACAAAGTAATTTTTGCTGAGGATTATACTTTGACAGCAAAAATCGAGACAGAAGACAGGAAATTGACACTTTCAGTTAAAAGTTTACAATGAACATATAGCGGAAAAAAGTTAGGATACAAAAGTGCCCTTACAAGAATACATTTTTTTAAAAAACCCACAATGCGGCTAACCACGCGCAAATGAAATTTGGGAAATATTTCTTTTGCATTCATAATAGTAGAAACGCAATATATAGCATTTTCGGTAAAACAACATAAATTTCTGAAAAGTCGTTTTAAAAACAGAAAAATCTTGTTCTATGTTGATAACCCATACCATTTTCAAGAAAATTATTAAAGTTTTTGTTTTATTTTAATTAGTATTATACAGGGTGTCCCGGTACTTGATACAAAAAAAGTCGAATACAAAACGAGGTCAAAATAATATCAGTTCTTCATATAAATTTTTTCATACAGGCCTTCATTAACAAGTTACTGGCCCTCAAATGTGAAAATTAAAAAGTTATTTTTATTTACAGTCTCTAAACTGTTAACTTCAGCATGATGCAAATTTGGTGACCGATAACACATTCGTACAGCTTGCTTTTGATGCTGTAAGTGAAACTTCATTATGCCCAAAACGCCAGGGACGGACTATGTCCAATGGTTAACAACCTAGAATAGATGACGTTCGCAATCTGGCCTGTATCAAAAATAAGTTCCCTGAGGAATTTGTCAACGATAATACCCTTTAGGTTCAACTCGGTAAAATGAACAATTTAGATAATATTTGTGATTTTCCTCCACCATTTTTGGTTTTTAATTTTTAATTGCTAATGCTCTCACTAACAAAATTTGACAAACACACTTTATACATTACACATTAACACAAAATAGAAAACAAAACAAGAATAAGTCTTAAAGGAAATTAAAAACATAATTTAAAAGAAAGAAAATGATCAAAAAACGTTTTCAATATGGGTACCTTCCACCTCCACACACTTCCTAACTATACGAATGTTATTTGTTTGTACGCGAAAAAGAATTTCTGGGGTAATAATTTAATAGGTCCATACGTTTTTGAGGAACGTCTAAATGGACATAGATATTTGAAGTGTATGCAAAATAATTTGCAGCCACTATTAGACGATGTTCCATTAGACATTAGTTTGATTCATGCACGATGGGGCTCCTCCCCATCTCAATATTGATGTACGAAAATATTTATCCTTCAAGAGGAGGCCCAATTTCATGGCCACCACGTTCTCCAGACTTTAACCAGATGGACTTCTTCCTGGCGGGATACTTGAAAAGATTAGTGTTCACAACCCCAGTACAGAAAAGGGATAAATTGCTACAAAGAATTAATTTCCATTGTGATAATATTAGACATTAGAAATGCTTTTTCGTGTACAAACAAATAACATTCGTAGACTTAGGAAGTGTATGGAGGTGGAAATGTATTTTGACAGTTTTCTTTCTTTTAAATTATTTTTTAACTTCCTTTAACTTTCTTATCTTCTTGTTTTGTTTTTCTATTTTGTGTTATGAGTAGTGTGTTTGTCAAATTTTGTTAGTGAAAATTAATTAGCAGACAGTGAAATATTCTAAACTCTTATTTTAAAAATATGTTCGGTTCTAACATAGTAATTATGTCCAATTAAAAATTAAAAACAAAAAATGGAGGCGCCGCTCGATGTGCATTGTGACAAAATCACAAATATTTCCTAAACTGTTAATTTTACCGAGTTGAACCAAGAGGGTATCAACCTTGGCAAATTCTTCAGGGAACTTATTTTTGATACAGGCCAAATTGCGATCGTCATCTATGTAAAAATTCTATGTTGTTAACCATTGGACATAGTCTGTTCCTGGCGTTCTGGGCATAATGAAGTTTCACTTACATCATCAAAAACGAACTATACACATGTGTTATCAGTCACCAAATTTGCATCATGCTTAAATTAATGGTTTAAAGACTGTAAATAAAAATAACTTTTTAATTTTCACCTTTGAGGGCTCGTAACTTGTTAACGAAGGCCTGTATAGAAACAATTTATACGAAGAACTGATATCATTTTGACCTCATCTATTTGTACTCGACTTTTTTGTATCAAGTACCGGGACGCCTTGTATAAAATTTGTAGAATCTCTATCATCAAAAATCTTACAGTGTTGATTACTAATATCGAAAACAAATGCCTTTTCAGATATAGGTACCCGATAAAATGTGTTATTTTTGCGAAACTACCTCAGATAACTTTTATAGATAAATAAAAATCCGCAATTACCTTCCTTGAAAGTTATTGTAATCGATATGATCCGGATTCAGATCTGCTGAGCCATTGTGAATTATTTAAAAAAATATATTTTTGACAGTACCTACACCTTTGTCACCCGGTAAAGTTTTTAGACCGACATATTCATAGCAAACTTAAAATAGGATTCCCTATCTCCTGTCTCATATTTTGCACCACAGTTTAGAAACATTCTGTATAATATAGAATAGATTATCTTTTATTTTAAAAAAAGTTGACATCAAATACAAAACTACCTATTCGATAGACGTATTCTTGACACAAGCTTTAAAAACCAATAAATGTTTCTGGAAAAATTGTTATCCTTACCCTGAAAAATTAATTATTTTAACATTGACCAACGTTCTAATCATTATGCATCTGTTTTTAAACGTTTTACAATTTTTTTAATTATTGCCTAGAGTTGGTATGGTAATTATCTTCTCGTATAAAAAGAATGCTGCTGCTCCATCTTTAGAAAATTACTGACATGTCTAAAAATGTCCATTTACAGTGACCAAAAGGTAATTATCGATGTAAGGTTACAAAAATACGTGTACCTACTTTTTTTACTCCCATTTATCAACATTTATCGGCAGAAAAGGGTCCTACCATCATAGAACTCTATTTTCAAATTCATCCTATTTTACGTAATATACATATTTAAATATATTTTTGATTCATAGAGAGCAGCTCATCAATATTGCCCATAATGAAATATTCATGAAAATGTCGATGGAAGAGTTAAAGGTTTTAGGGGCATATTACTTACTTAATTATGTAAATAATCTCTTTGAACAGATATTACTAAGGCCTTTCACTTCTCACCCGCAATTATATATTTTTAACAGTTCTGTATATTTAATGAAATATGCACTACACTTTTTAATTGCCGCTTAATAAAATTATCGTCACTGTCTCATTAAGCACAACTTTACACTTAGTTAATTAAAGAAGCATTGTTAATTTACAAAAATTATTATGTACATACATTTAGCCGGAGTTTCTTAAAGTTTAAAAAATTGTATCATCAGTATCAGTATCAATTACATAATAGTTTATTTTTAAAGCATTCATTGAGCTACTAAATAATTAACATATCTTTTAGTTAATGTTTAATATATTTAATAATGTAAATACGCATTTATATTTTTGATAATAAAAATTTTATAAACGTTCGTATTTTTTTCATTGACTTAATGCAATATCTTATATAATATTATATTCTTTGGTAAAGTACCACCAAAGAAATGTGTAAATTTTTCAAATAAGGTGGGAATTCCAGCAAATGCCATTGTCATTGTTAATGTCAATTGAAATGCATGTTTAAAAAATATATGCGTCGAACATACTTCACAGAATACCTATCTCGTTATCTCCCTAATTAATATTAAATATAAATAATTCAAAATGAAAAAAAAAGTTTTTAAAATACGTAAATTTTTTATTTTCCTGTGACCTATAACTTTATTTGTATTTCTTATGAAAACAATTTGGACTATTCACTAATTATGTGTTTCGTGGGAGAACGGGGCAAAAACATTTTCATAATGCAAGCACTGTATCAGTTGTTAAGTATCTTAATTTTGATAAATTTTCTAGGAATTCTTTAAAATTGTTGCTTTAGTCGGATTGACATATTTTTTCTACATCGCATAATGTGAAAAGTACAGCATTTATAACTCAAAATTTTTTTAGTCTTTCACTCAATTAAACTATTACTGAGCCCTGTTGAGTCTCCCGTTTTACATTTTGTTGATGCTTATACACTGAAAAAAAAACCATGCAGCTGCTAACTTGTAACATACCATACACTCATAAAATTTTTATGTAAAATTATACAGTTAGTTATTTTGACGCCACAGAAGATAATGTAAAATTACATCGGTATATGTGTGTATATTTACGCCATCTAAAGTGTAATTTAATTTTACTATGAAACAGGAAAAAGTCTAGTCATTATTATTTTGTAATATTTTTAGAAATAATATCTTTTTTTTACATACTTAAATATTTTTCCAAGAGATATGTCTACTTAAGTAAAGGGAAAGTAACAAGAACATTTATTAATGCAATAAATGACACACGTTCTCTAGAGTAAATTATAAACGGAAATATACCGAAAGATAAATAATACAGTGTCCTCGCCTTAATTTTCTTTCTTTTTCATTTCCATTCTTTATGCTTAGACAGTTTAATTCACAGTAAATACCAATAATATATTCTTAAACATATAAATTTTTGTCAACTTCTAGTAATATTTTGAAAATTTGTTATCAAATATTTGTGTGAAAGAACATTAACCAGATGACCCTATATACTCAATCGCTACTGATGCAGACAGTAGTAAATGCAATATTAAGTTAAAAAAGATATTTAAAGAGTCTCAGACAAAGAGATTCAGGATTGAGTCAGTATTTTATTGAGATATAAATGTAAAGGTTTTTTGCAAAATCATTTCACAGGCATCAGTCACCACTAAATTCATTTTTTTGTTTCTACAATTTTACCCCGATTTTCCCTACTATGTATGGATATCTACATTTGTGACAACACACACACCGATAATAAAATAAGTATAAATAACTGCAATATTACCTGTAGTTCGTATCTGTGACATACTCTTCGCAAGGTAAGTTGACCTGATAATGCACAACATTAACTTAATAATATTCATGATGTTAATTTAGAGTTTGCATAATTTTTCCTACAAGTTTTAATAGTAAATATGTTAACTTGATTAATTTATCATTAGTTGTGTAAATACTTTCGTGATTGCTGACAATTTTTGATGGATAAAAATTTTTTTTTCTCTGTATATTTGAGTATTTTATCCCCTGTGAAAGGTGTCAAATATCCAAATAGCCATTCCTGAGGAAAAACTAAAACTATGCTACAAAAAATAATTTTAGACAATATTAATTTATAACTGAAATTTTCCAACTATATAGTTGTACTTTTACTTATACTTTGTTCTTGATAGAATGAGTAAGATCGGTATTTTATTGTGCCTGGTTGCGACCACAGTTGCTTTGGAAACGCAGGAGCCTCTTCAGGAGTTTTCCAATGGAAATCAAAAGTTCAGTGCAGACGTGCTTAAGGTAAGGTAATTTAGAAAAAAATTTATTTATCTGCTCTCACTATGGTAAATAGACTATTAATACATTGTTTTTAAGGAGATAAGTGAAATAACTTACCTCCCTAGGGAAAAAAGCGATTTCGAGTTACAAATTCATATTTTATGAACAAATAAATAGAAATATTTGATGAACATTACATTTTATTAATTATTATGAATGAATATTTATAGTAATTGTACAGTTATAACATTTAGTAACATTTATAAAATCTGGATAGTTATTCCCCTCGCGTTTACTAATTGTCACATTTTTCTCAAGATGATTTGACCGCTCCATTTCAGTCACTGGAGGTTCAATATTATCTGACTGATCCATTAAAACAGCACGATGCAACGTACTACTAGAATCTGGAGTGGAAGTATCATTGTAAAGAATCCTGTTGGCTATTTCATTTTTGTTACTTAAACTGTCATCAACATAACTTTCTGCAATTATGGCTGATTTCCACCCACCTTGTCTCTTGATAGCTAAAACATCAGCTCCTGTATTAGCCAGTAACGTTGTCGATGTTCTTTGGAATGAATGGCATGTATATGTTTCAGGATGTTCTAGTTTCAAAAACTGTGCAATCTTATTAAGAATTATAGAAAGGGTATTCTTGCCGATTGGTTGGTTGTAACATCTACTTGCTTGATAGCGCATAAAAAATCGTGAAATTTCAGTTTTAATTTCCCATCTAATCTTGATATATTTCTTGAAAATTTCTAGGTGAGAAACAGAACCCAGACGAGAAGTAATTGTAAACGTACGTGACATACCCTTTTTAGAATCTGGAATTATAACTACAATAATGTCATCGAAACTTTTGAAATTGACGTTGTCCAAAGTAAGTTTGCATAACTCGTCAGAACGCCATGCTCCTGCAATGCCTAAGACCGTCACTACATTCATTAGCAAACATGTGTTATCGGGTACCTGAACGAAAACCCGTTGACTTGTTCTCTTGTAAAAACGTTTGACTTTTTAGGTGTATAGCCTTCATTCTTACGTTCCAAAAATGCTTCAGCTTGGGGTATTTTGATATATCCACGTTCTCCTCTATGAAAATAGTTGACTTAATCGTTGAGTATTCACTCTACATGAAATATGCTAGCAGTGACACTTCAGAAACAGCAGTATTTTTGTTCTGGCTCCATTCTTTGAAATTTCTATATGCTCGTCTGTAGCTCATTTTCGACTTCTCGGGCAATAAAAATTCGCAGCCAGCATTTACTGCACTTCATATTTGAAAATCACTCATTTAGAAATATTAATTCAAAACCAGCAAAATTGCAACTTTTATGTAGCATTGTTTATAAACACCTTAGAAACGACAAAATCCAAACAACCAAGGCGACTTTGCAAGATTTCAAATAATGTCAAAATGAATACATTAAGAAATGTCAAAAAATAAAACCTAATCTTTATTTGATAAACCATAAAGAACTCTGAGAGCAGATAAAATGTTATATTTACACCAAGCAGCAGTTAAGTATAATTTACCAGTCTCGGACTTTATTGCCAGTCCTCGCTCCGCTCGGTCGCAACATCGTTCTCGATTGGTAAATAATATATTACCTCCTTTATGGTGTAAATAACTATTTGGTTATTGTATATATTTTTTTTTAATTCCAAAAAATCGTATATATGTACTTACTAATCCTTGTGTATATTCAAGGTGGTCTTTACCGACGAACACAATAAAGGTATAATCAGCCCTCTATCAGTACAGTTAGTTTTGGCCCTAACAGCAGAGGGCGCTGAAGGGGACACTTACGACCAACTCAGGAAAGCAGTAAGCTTGCCTGACAAAGAGAGGACTACCGAAGCTGTCAAGGCCCTCCTGCCCATCTTGAATAAATCCGCGAAAGATTTCAATGTATCACTAGCCGACAAGCTGTACATCGATAATAAGTTTAAAGTGAAAAGGAGTTTCAAAAAGGTCGCCGTCAGTGCTTATCAATCCGATATACAGAACGTAAATTTTGCTAAGAGCGGTCCGACTGCTGATTTGATAAATAAATGGGTCGAGTCTAAAACGAACGATAAGATCAAAAATTTGATTCGTCCTAATCAACTCACCGCTGACACCGAGCTGGTTCTTGTGAATGCCGTGTATTTGAGCGGAAAATGGCAAACGCCTTTCCCACCATCCAAGACTTCAAAAAAACCGTTCCACTATCTCAATAAAAAAGTTGAAGACGTAGATACGATGCATTCTGCCGAAAACTCCAGGTACTTGTACCGCCGTTGCGGATTCTTGCAGGCGCAGTTCTTGGAAATTCCTTTCGAAGACAGCACCGTCAGCGTTACTTTCGTTCTACCCGACGCCCAGGATGGTATTGTAGAGTTACACAAGCACGTGGAACTTTTCTTGGAACCCCACAATCTCACCCTACAGAGGGTAGCTGTCAGTTTGCCTAAATTTTCCGCGTCTACATACCATGACTTCAAAGAAATTGTATCCAAAGTAAGTATAAATTTAAATTCCTCGTGTTCGATAAAGTTACAGTTGCAGAACTCTATTTCAAAGAATGTAGTGTTTCAGTTTCCAAGTTCAGTGGTGCTATTTTAAATATTAACCAGTGTTTTATGGTTTTAGTTGGGAGCTACAAAGGTTTTCAGCAAAGAGGCTGACTTGTCGGGCATATCAGAAGAAAAGGATCTTTACGTAGACTTCATTCAACAGAAGGCTTTTATAAATATTACTGAAGCTGGCGTTGAAGCTGCAGCTGCCACAGCAGGTAAAGTATAAATACAGAGAAGCTTCTTCTCATATTACATTAACAACTTATTTAAGTCACTAAAAACAATTTTCAGAAAAGTAAAACACCTATTAGGTTGGTACAAAATGAATGTACGACACCAATTTTCAAATGAAATAATTTAAATGTCATTTGCGTACCACGAAAAATTTTTTTAAAAAGGCACATTTCTTCCTACACTTACATTTTAGCCATAAAGAGTTTAAACGAAAGTGTCTACGATATACAGGGTCGGAAAGTCCTCATGGTTCATCGGCTATTACGTAAGAGCGATAAAGTTAAGTCATAGAAATCCGTGCGATAGAGAAAGATGGCTAAAATGAAGGCGTCTCATAGTCACCGCCCGTTTCACCCTTCCACAAATTAAGATCCACTTCCACTTGTAATTCAGCGACCGGTGGTCATCTTTGTTTTCGTCGTTTGGCATTTCTTTAATAGATGTCACTACTTATACAATTTCGACTTCGATATTCCGATATGTNTTGGCTTTTCTTTAATAGATGTCTCTACTTATACAATTCCGACTTCGGTATTCCGATATGTTAATACAATCCGTTAACAGAGGGCAGCACAACGCGTAACAAAAAAAACTTTTTACAGTTTACTCTGTTTGTAAATCTAGTGACCTTGTTTCCCCTACTGAAAAGTTATTCACTATGGAGTATAGTGCTCAGCCGCATTTAGTTGTTATTTAAGTATACTTTTTAAAATGACTTAAAAATCCCAAGAAATAAAGCAAAATTCCCTACTTCCCCAATTCCAAAAAAATCTGTAGATCTGGCATCACTCTTTCTAGGGCTGAGCTTCATCTTAGACAAATTGTGCTGCCCTCTGTTAACGGATTGTATTAACATATCGATAATACCGAAGTCGGAATTGTATAAATAGTGACATCTATTACAGAAAAGGCAAACGATGAAAACAAAGATGACCACCGGTCGCTGAATTACAAGTGGAAGGGCGAAACGGGCGGTGACTATGAGACGCCTTCATTATAGCCATCCTTCTCTATCGCACGGATTTCTATGACTTACTTTATCGCTCTCACGTAACGGCCGACGAACCATGGGGACTTTCCGACCCTGTAGACGAAAGCACGATAAAATGCTAGTGGTGTCAATGTTACTTTGGTTTGCAATGTAGGAGAAACTTGTGAACAAACTGTATCTTAGTTAACATTTAAGAGGTACAAAGTGTTAAGGTTAAAAGTAATAAAAATATTTTTGTAACTGAAGACCAGTGAAACATTATCTTTAAATTTGGTATAAGATATGACCCTCTATTAGCATATCAACTTAAATCAATATACAGGGTGATTCAGAACGTATAAAAATTTTTTTTTGGTCGTACAGGAGACTTACAAATACAATTTTGTAAAAAAGAAACAAAAAGGGCAATTAGAAAATGATTTAAAAATACATTTCTGCACGGCACTGGAAACTGGTCTACCGTAATACCTGACCTTACGCCAGACAAAGCATGCAGTCGGCGACGGGCATGGCGGCGAAGTTTTTATATTAGCAAATTCAACTGCTTTTGCCGCTAATGTTATTATTAATCAATAAAATTAATTTGTGGTTTAAATTAATAAAATAATTTGACGTATAAACACATTTGGGCACGTCTTCCCAGTTCCTAACAACTAACATAAATGTTGTTTTGCTGCACCATAAATTAAAACGATATCCATCAACTCGAGTTGTTATACACGTAAGCCATTTTTGACATTTGAAAAATTAATGTAAACAGTATCGCAAAACGTTAACAATAAAATCGGATTTCAGTATTCAGAATGGCCTAGAGCCACGTGAAGAGAGAGAGAGAGCGCACTACGCGATTGACGCTAGAGACTACAATAGCCCAGCGATGTAAGAGTTGAAAATACTACAACGTCTTGGAAACTAATGGATTTTACAAATTTTTTTTACGATATTGACTCCATTTTTCATGGTGCATCTATTCACAAATTTTTTTCTTGTGAATCATCCTGTATAGCTCCTATGACGTGCTATTTCATAATTAAACTCATTTTCAAAATAATAGATAGTCGAAATTACATAGGTATAGAAAAGAGTGAAATATTTTGAATGTTTATATTTAGACCTCCAAGCAACAAAATTGTGGATTTTCCTAGAAAAATTTAAAATTATATAAAACCATTGAAGTAATTTCAGCCAGTGGCAGATTTTCGTTAATTTTTAATTAAACACCATGTAACTCACAAAAAAAGTAACCTTTGGACTAAGATGTATTTGTCCCAATTGTCATAGTTTTGCCCTCACGATTGTCTGGTAGTATTTTCCTCTTTCATTGAAATACACTAAGTACACTTCTAAGGAAATTATACACTACTAACCATTTTTTTCAGCTGGAGTTGCATCACTTTCCGCGTCAATAGCCCGAGAACCTCCACAGCTGACGTTTAATGCTGACCACCCATTCTTCTACTACATCAGAGAGAATAAATCTAAAGCTATAATATTTGTCGGTCGCTACCAATAATAATCTACAAGCTTGTACTTGCAAAAATAAATCGTAACTAGATGAGCATTATTTTCACTTTTTATTACGTAGATCATCCAGAATCTAGTACCCGTAAAAACCAATTTAGTATTAATAATTGTTGTTTTTATTAAAATTTTATTACATGGAATGTTTTATGAGTTGTTACAATTTTTTAGTTGGAGTTGGAACAACTTCTATACAAGAGCCTCCAAAATTGACGTTCAACGCTGACCATCCATTCTTTTACTACATCAGAGAGAATAAATCTAAAGTTATACTATTCGTTGGCCGCTACCAATAATCCAAATGATTGTTACTAAATAAAATAAACCAGATGAATGTTATTTTCACTTGTTGTTATTTCTAAAAAATTGTTAAACGATTTATTTACATTATTTTTCTAGTTGGTGTATCGACGAAAGCTCTTCCACCTCAGCAAACGTTCAACGCCGACCATCCCTTCTTTTATTACATCAGAGAGACTACATCTAACGTCATATTATTTGTGGGACGCTACCAATAACGTGAAACATTCTTACTATTTGCAAAATTAAATTGTAACCGTTCTATGTTTTCTATTTTTGATAAATTTATTTTAAAAGCAAAATCACCTCATTTTTCTCTTGGAAATACCCTACAGAAGATGTGCGGTAACGAACACAAAAAAAACTCCCACCTATTGTACTTCCAAAGCCATGTATTTAATTACTATTTCATTAAAATACGATTGTATTTATTACAAATTTTAAACGCTTACCTTAGTATAAAGCTAATGTCCACAAATATACAATTACTAGGAATATATTCAGTAACAGATTCAATGACCCCTTATTACATTTTTATAATCTAAATTTTCAATTACCGGTCTATAACATCATTTCGGGGTTAATTAAACATTATCATTATTATTAATTAAGGCACGACAATAAATAAAAAGAATTTATAGCGAAAACTTTTTGCGCTAGGGAAAAAGCGGTCGGTTTAGATAGCGAGTACGCGAGCTCTCGCAGGCAGATAGAAAACTTTGTATTTGACTGAGGTCTAGTGAACAGTAAAATTTGCATATTCTACGTTTATAACGGCTGTTTCACTAGTACCTTGATTAAGACGATATTAATGGGGTTGATATATGTATTGGAATATCGTCTGAGAAACATATTGGCTATATTTTATGAGTATTATTGAGAGAACAATGTCTCTTGGTGATTAGGGGCTTCGATCACAAGAGGTGAATTCTAAATAATTAACAATTGGTTTTATTATCTGCTGGTAACTCCCATTTCTAAATTATCTTTTTGTATACACTTTTAGGCATTTTAGTAGGGGTTTCGGTGTTCCGAAATATATTTAAAATTCCCACAAATTCCAAATTGTGCCCGGAGCCATATATACGAGGTGATCCAAAATATTCCCGATCGGATTTTATATTGGTTGGCCTCCCGAGATACCAAAGAGCCAAACATTTACGGAGAGAAGGCGAAGTTTAGACCTACGAGTTACATCATCTCAACCAGGCTAAGTACCACATAGTGGGAAGTTTTTTTACACCGTTGTTAACGACTTTAGTCCGATTTGGTATGAATATATGACCACATGTATTAGAATTGTTTTGGGGATCATCTACCCCTTACTTACTTATTGGGTTTTTTTGTCATGTTGATAGTTGTCATTAAATAGTAAATTAATAATTTAG